CCTCAAATTTACAAACATACGCCAGGAAATAACTTCTGCAATAATAATTAGCCTTAATTAAATTCTGCCGGGAATATACCTTCCTATCACCTTCTGGGCCGCGCCCTCACGGATGGGCCATGTGTTTCAAAGGAAAGTATACACAATGGAAGTTGAGCTTTTTGTTATCTTCGAAGCCACAAGTTATCGGGATTACTCTGAAGATAAGAGAAATCTCTTTCAGTGAAGAAGTGCTGGACCGATTCTATTTTCTTCCGTTCAGTTGTGCGCAGACGGCTAAGTAGGGGCGAGCAGTATTCGAGACCAGGTCCCACTCACAGACTATGGAGTCCTCGAATGTTGAAGGACCAATGGTGGAAACCATTGTACTTCAGGAATATTGAATTCGCCTGTAATCAAGTATTACCTAAGATTTAAGTCTGGTCCGGCGTGAAATGCCTGCGAGGATCAAAGATCGTAATTCCTACTGGTATTGGGTGGGCGATAAATACAGCCAACGAGTAAGGAGTATTTACCCTTTAGAACAACTCGGAGTCAGCAGCTGTCTTCAACAGCCGTAAAGTGTGGATAGTGTAATGGCAGAAATGTAGGAGCAGATACATCTGCTGACTATCTCCAGTGTTCTTTGTTCAGAGAAGCGGGTCTCGCCGAGAGCTTTATTTCCAATTTGTGGCAGTCTAGGTTACGGGCCGAGTCGTTTGCCATTTTATTATCTAAAAGCGAACGGAAAATCCAGGCTGTCAGATTCAGCGATCTCCCTCTTGTAAAATATGCTTAGCTATGGGGACCAAAAGCCACGTTCAGGTTGCAGGTGGCGCAATTTGCCAGCAGTTTTTCTGAGACACCTTGTCTAGTCTCACTTAGAGCGTGCGGTAGACTGTGCTGCTTCAAAATAGGACTTCTTTGACGTCTCAAACAGCTACCCCGTTGCATTATGGGTGAATAATTTTTTTTAGCCTGAAGATGACTCGAAATAGCCCAAGCCACCCACGCGGCTGCATTTCGCCCTCTCCAAAGGCTTTTTCCTTGTGGCGATGAAGTGGTAGGGGAAATAGGGATCACGTTAGGACCGTCGGTTTTAACGCACACACATTATAGTCCGAGGATGCCTACTATATGTTCCACAATAGGTTGGTGCAGGGACGGTGACTTTCGAAGCATCTACCGCACTCTTTCTTCCCTCATTCATCTGTGCTCAGTATCATAGCAGAGTCAAGAGATTTCAGTATCTTGAGTCTGTGCCAATGCAGCCGAATTTATCTCATTTCCAAAAATAGGAGATGCTTGTTTTTCAGCTGGCTCGCCTATATTTGCTAGGCAGAAAAAAACAGAGCAACGATCAATGTGACAAGAATAGTTTTTCTGCATGACTATCGCAAGGGGTTAAGTGGGTTAAACTCAGCAACGGCGATTTTCAGACCATAGTTACTTAGTGGAGAAGAAGTCGGTAAAGGCTTAAGTAGCAGGAATAGTTTATTGCGCACACAGGACGGAGAGTAAATGAATGAAGTCTTACTTGGGAGAACACGACCAGTAGGTGAGCCACCCGCAACCAAGTGCCAGTTTGAGAGCAGTCAGGACGGTAGACAGTGTGAGAAAGCATTCATTGGGTAGGTCAGCTTGTGATTGGTTTGACACCGTGCGTGGGGGTGGAGAGCATGTGGGTGGTCCATGTCTCGCGGCAGTTAGTATAGCGACCGCAACGACCTTGAGGTCTAGACAGATTGAGGTCACGACAGGTAGGGCAGGCATCGTGCGGGTCACGACCCAGTACATGACGTCTCTAATTACCAACGTGACATGGTTTATAGGCTGAATTTGTTAAGCCGCTACATGCCTATCATAATTAGTCACTCTTACATTTATTATCGTGCCTTTGAACCCAACCCTGGAAGCCCGTGACTATTTCCACGTTTGTTCGCCACTGTTATCAAACCGGTTCTAATGCATTTAGCGCAGACTTTCGGCGGCGTGATTTGAAGCATACAGTCCATTTTAACTGTTTCTGTTCGGCACACGTTGCACAAAGGACAAATTCTCGGAAGATTTCATTACCAACAATTATTTTTTCTCTTCTTCTATGTCGTACTAAAATTATTATTGTAAGACTGATACACACCAATAAAGTCAAACAGCGTTCTGGCCTTCGTAAAGGTCTGTTAGGCAGCTGCATATATACACAAAAATATTTTCCATTTGTGGAGCACCTTTGACTGAGGCCGTCTAGAAGAGGAAATAAAATGTGTCGTATGTTTGCATTAGGGAAAAACTGTTCTGAAACTTGCAAAAGTGAGCTTGGGAGAAGAAAACGCTCAAAGTATTGATAGTAATTTCATAAAGCGAAGTGTGCTTTCCCGGGCAACTTTTCTATTTATCTGATTTTTAGGGAATTGAATACAAAATGAAAAAAGACGCTGATTTGCCCGTTTCCGAGTTATATACTGTTGTGTTATTGCCGATACAACCGAGTCCCAGGAAGCAGTTATGAAGAAGAAGAAAAAGAAGAAGAAGAAGGTCCGATCACCGGGACAAGACTTTTAGTTGCTTGACATCAGGATCATAGTACCACTCACCGGGTCACCCACTTACCAAATTGCTAAGTGGTTGTACAGGTATTTAAAGCATATGACTCACATATCAGAGTATAGCATTAACAAATCACAGATATTCCCTCCCAAGATCCAACGCCACTTGGTAAGTAGTTATGGATGTCTCCAGCCTTTTGCCTTGCTTTCTATATCAACCGATTCGGGCCATTGATTGCGAAGCCTAATGTTTATAGGGCAATTCCGTCGATATCCCAATGCAGAATACTGTGGCGGACAGCCAAGAACGCTGTCC